CATGATCCTCTCTAGTCTGAAGAATATACCAAGATGTCATCAATTTCATTTCATTTCATACAAAATCCCAAAATATCCACATAATAGCATAAAGGCACAAAATCAAAAATTTGAGTAAGGTAAGTGTGTTTATGAACACTAACCTTCAAAAACAAGCTTTAATCAAAGCTTCTCAAACTTTAATCAAAGCTTCTTTGGTCTTGCCCTTATCTTTGTTAGAAGGCTCTCCACCCTCTACATATAAGAAACTCAAAATCAAACAAAGAAAACAAATAAAAGAAGTAATTGGAGCATGATTAAGCATGTATATGCTAAAAGAAAACTCTAATCCCAAAAATAATTAACTTATCATAAAATCACTTACTTGACCCAAGTAGGAAAATCACCAAATTCCTTGAAATTAGTCACCAAATATTGCTTCTCTAGCTTCACTCTCTAAGATTTATTACTTAAATCAAGTTGGATGCTCAGCGCGTTGATTTTATTCACGCGCAGGTTGGAGATTGTGCTTGCCTGTTTTAAAGACCTGAAAGTACATCAGGACTGAAGATCTTTGGTAGTTGATTAGTATTTTATGTAACTAAAAAATATATGGCATGTATTGAGTATTTAACCCAAATTTGGAAGACTGTATGAGTTAATGTTATAACTTAAAGGGCATATTTGTTGTAAATTATTTTGGAGTAATATGGGAGAAAACGGAAACTATTTAATGGTTAGAATATTAGAGTTGATATGTTTATATGCATCTATTTAATTGGTGAATATTAAAATTTTATTGAGGATTGAAAATGATAGAAGTTGCTATTGTGTTGTCATGGAGTTTGATTTTGTGTTTGGAGTGGAAATGGAGTGCTTTGTATTATATGTTGGCAACTTCTCTTTTTTAGGGGAAACTCTTTGCAAGTTTTTCTGTAGGACCTCTCCCAAATCACTTTTCAAAACAAAAATATTAGTACTTGTAAACTTATGAATTTACTAAGTCACTTCTGATTCATAATATGATTGTTATGATTATATGCAGGTTAGGACGGTGCCTCCGGCACTGAATGTGAGCTCCACCAGTCGATTTATATGCAGGTTAGGACGGTGCCTCCGGCACTGAATGTGGCATCCACCGTCGGGTCTTTCGGGATCGGGCGGCGGGTGTTACAATTAATATTATAAAATTATTTATACTTAATCAAAATTTTATCAAAATTAGAAATAAACTCTAGAATAGCAAGGGTGTTAATAAATTTTCTGTTTAATGTATAATATATAATAAGTTCCAAAAATTTATTTATAGACAGTCAAATAAAGGTCTATTCAAATAGATTGACATTTGAAATAGTTGAGTATTTAAATTTGGTACCATGTTGATTGTGTTTTTAATTGTTTTTTCAATTCATTTCAAATACTTATAATTAAATATAATTTTATTTTATGGAAAATTTTTCCAAAGAAAAATCAAACAACAAATTTTTAATGTGCTATTGGTAGATTTCTTGATAAGGACAAATTATTCCTATTAATTTGGCAGATAAGTAGAATAATTACTCAATGTAATTAACTTTTCCAAATAAATAAAAAAATTAGTTAAATCTGTTGACTTTACAATCTCTGAACAAGCAAAATTTAGAAAGCAAAAGTCCTTAATCAGTTAGGACCGTTTACCAACTGAAGTCTCAAGAGGGAGGCGATATATAATTCAATTGGGGTTAGTTAACAAATTCATTAACAATTTGTTTGTTTCAGATAAATCAACTCTCTAAAATTCTATATAATTCATTTACAAATTTATTATTATTATTATTATTATTATTATTTATTTGGACATGTATCTCCACGCAAATAGGGTGATATTTAGGAAAAAATTTCTCAACATGAGATGTGGTTTTCAACTGTGGTGACTCCAGGTTTCAGGCTCTCATTTTACACTTAAAATTTGTCTGGATATAGTTTATTTTATGTTGATTCAACTGTATGTCAGTTATAAATTTAAATTCTTACATTAGCTATAGATTAAAATTCATTTGGAGTTTTCTTCAAAAAGGAAAATTCATTTAGAATTTCTTTTTTTTTTATAATTCTATGGAAATAATTATGTATAGACTAAATTATATCAAAATTAAAAAGTTTGTAAATAAATTTTAAACTTAAAAAGTACAAATTATTAAAACTAATGAATTTCAAATATAAATTATAATTAAGTTAAACATGAAATTCATTTATAATTAAATTTTTTAATGAAATTCAATTGCAAATAAAATGAATTCCACTCATATTTATTCTAGAAAATATGTAAAAAAATAAAAAAATCTTGTATTGTTGAACCAAAAACATGACTTGGACATGAAAAACATGAGTCATGTATGGTTTGGTAAGGTGTAAAAATAAAAATGGTTCCTAACATCCCTAATCTTTTGAAAAGATCAATCTATTGTTCAAATAGTCAATGAACCCTTCTTAAGAAACTACCTGCTTTGTGCCTCGTGGCCAAGTCAACTAAGGATCCATTGTCAACAGCAAACAAGGAAGGCAAATGCTTAATTGGTGTATTTTTGCCCAATTTTCAAAGTAGACTCCCAATTAAAAATAATTATTAGTTCAAGAAATTTGTTAATTTGGTTCGTTATTCATATGTTAGTTGTCATGCAAAAGTTTCTTTATACACCTAATTGAGTTAATATTTAATAAAATAAATTTAGCTTCTACCATTTCCTTCATTAATTTATAATATTGAATCATTAACTAATAATAAGTAATAAAATTTGAAAGATTAATCTAAACATTGAATTTATTAAATGTGAAGAACAAAAACATTTTTCCGTCTGTTATCTGTATCGCTATTTTAAAGTTTTTGCATGGTATGTGATTAAAGAACAAGTAAATCACCTAAATCATAATAAAAAAAACTTTTAAATTTGATTAAATTACATTTTATCTCATATGATTATTTCAATCTCAATAATTTTCTTTAATTTGCTATTAAAATTAAGAGATTGTAGAAAAACTTTTAATGTGTTTAGCAGAGATAATAGTCAAATTGAAAAAGATTAATTAATAATCTTAATGTTCTCAATACTATATAATAATTATGGACAAAAGAAAAATAGACAAAGAAAGTACACTTTAAAAAATTATAAAAATAAAAAAGTAGGCACCTATTTATTTATTTTTCTTACAGGGATAAGACTTTTATTCTTTGTTGCCTCAAAATTTGAACTTGGTGGAGGAATAAAAGAACTCCTGATGCTTGAGATATATCCTCAAGGTTGCAAAAGCTCAAGCAGACAAGCAAATTATTACTCCAAAAAAGAAAAGAAGCAAAAAAGAATGAGCAGATTCTTTAATGTAATTCTAGAGTAAGCCACCCACTTTCAATTTTTAAAAATTGCGTCGTCCACTAAATTATATTTTAATTCCATTAAACTATTGAACTTTCAAGAACAAACTATTGCCCATTTCATTTATTCACCACCTCCACCAATTCCTTTTCCCATGATTTCCTTTCTGCTCCATAAAGAAAAGTAGAATACACGTTATGGGAAGCGCAAGCCAAGTAGTGCGGCTTGGCTTAACCTAGTTGTAGTAGGAACTAGGAATGGAAAATAAATTTATTTTACTATTTTTGTTCCGATTGAAAACGGAAAAAAAAGAAATGGAGAATGACTCACCAAAGACCCGTCTGTCCTGCCAAGATTAATATTTGATTAGTCAAGAACAAGATTGAAATGTGAAAATGTGATGCTTATTAGAATCTTAGAAGGACCTTTTTTTGACTGGAAAAAGTCTCTCCATAATCCCATACCGGTAATTATTTCTAAAAATGTGTGATTAAAGAATTAATCTTTGTATTTATTTGACATTCTCTAATTTAATATGCACAAGAATGGCTAAAACTGACATAAGCATTCCATGCAAAAATAACAAATCTTTCGTTAACTAAAGGTTAATGAAATATTTGATCAAAAGGTTATTCATTTTAGAAGTATTCTCATATTTGATCAGAATAACCAAATACCGCTTAACTAAAATTCATTAATATTTCCATCGGATAAATTATTTATATATATATAATTATCAATATGAAAATTATATTAAATATATGAAAAAAGGGAATATATATATATTTTTTATTTGTAACATATGTCTCTACGCTAGAGCCAACGATAATATTCAGGTAAAATCTTATAAAAAATGATGTGAGTTCAGACTTTTGACTTTGCATGTAAAGTTCTCCTAAGATGCGATCCATTTTCACTTGTCCAATTACATGTATAATGAAAATTTATACAGGAATATGAAAGTCTTCTTAGTGGTTTATTTCAAGATTTAATTAATAATAATAGATTCATTAATGTTACTGCATATTATAGAGGAATAAAATAAAAAACTGCAAATATTACTTCTAACTAAAAGGAGAAAAAGTAGTATAACTTGAGACAAAAAAAAAAAAAAAAAAAAAAAACTGCAAATATTACTTCTACTAAAAGGGAGAAAAATAGTATTAACTTGAGACAAAAAAAAAAAAAAAAAGGTAAGGCTTAAAAAAAAAAAAAAAAAAAAGGTAAGCTTATTTTATAAAACTGAAAAATAATAGAATAGAACTCACCTTCTTTTATTAATTAGTCTATACCGTTATAAAACAACAATTAATTGTGGGTAGACAGAAACCCTTTCTTTTTTTTTTTTTTTTTGAACTAAAAAATCTGTTCTCCAATAAATTTTAAGGGCCCATTCTTGGCTTATGTATTTAATAATTTTTTAAAAATATTTATATTAATAAAAATTAGAGCTAAATTCTGATAGATGAAAGGAGAAGCAAACATATTTAACTCTTCAAGCTATAATTTTCTACATATAAATGCCATGAAAAAAGAAATGGAAAATTATCAAAATCGTGCCGAAAAACCTTGAAAGAGAAATTAATTTCTGACTCCCACGTGATACTCTCTAATAACCCAATAAACACTGAGGAATTTTCCTATATAAGACCCCAACAATCTCTCTGATGATTAAACAAAAACTTGAAACCCACAGAGAAAAAAAGCAGAGAGCTTTGGCTTCTCTTTTCTTTGACGTTTCCTTTTACAACGCAGCCATCATTGAGTGTAACATAGGTCTGGAAAGCAATTTGTAACGACAGAAAAACAGAGGCAGAGAAAGAGAGAAACGAAGTTAATTATTAATTATATCGAAATCAGATACCTTGGATTTCTCTTCTTTTGCAATTAATTCTTTGTTTTGCTTTGAAAATCAGCTTTCTTGAGGCATACATTGGTATTAAGAAAGGTATGTGTGTCTTTTATCTTTCTTATATTTTATTTTTCTTGTTTAAAAGCAATCTCCTTTCTTTAATTTTCTTTTCTTGTTTTTTGTTTTGTAGGATTTTCTTGGTACTGAATAAGGAAGATGCGTTTAGTTTTAATTCTTTCTCAGCTCTTCTTCTTCTTCTTCATTGCCTCTTACGCGAAGACCTCAGTTAGGTTCTTGCTTATCTTCTTCTTCTTCTTCTTCTTCTTCTTCTTCTCTGTTCTTCTCAACCGTTATCGTTATTGTTTTCTTCTTCTTCTTCTTCTTCTTCTCTGTTCTTCTCAACCGTTATCGTTATTGTTCCTGTTAGTTATTGTTGTGCATTGTGTGTGTGAGAGTTGATAAAAAGTTAATTGATTTATATTCATTCACATGCTGTGTACTGTTTCAATAGTATAGAATATAAACCAGACATGCCTACAAGTTTTGTTTTTAACCTTTTTATCTAAAAGAGACATTTTGTGTGGTGAGTTTGGTCACCCCTCTGTTTTCTCTTTTTTTTTCTTCTTTTGTTTGTTCTTATTTCTTCGACAACTTTTTTTGATTTGGAAAATCCAACTCCAAAACTTCACAATTTTTGAAGAGGACTCAAAAGTTTTATAATTTTCCTTTTCTTTTTCAATTAGAAGGTGGGTAGCATTAGACATTTTTTTTAATAACATTCCGCACTAAGATTAATTTCATATATGTCTAATTGGGGTAGTAACTCATAAGTCATAAGGGTGGTTGGAAGAAGAGTACAAAAGAAACAAAAAGAAATGGTCCTACTTACAACATTTCACCTTTTACGAAGTGATTGGAAGTTCATGTCACGGGCGAACAAAAATTCTGGATCTTTTCATTTTTTCCAGCTTTTAAGCGTTTCTCTGCTGCTTACACCTCACAATGCCATTTAAGTCTTTGTGTCCACACTCGTTTTATGCATATGTTTTTTTTTTTTCTCTCTCTCTCTCTCTCTCTCTCTCACACCATTGACGAAAGCTCGAGCTGCAATTATTCCTCTGCATTTTCTTTTACGTGTCAATTTGTAGCATTTCACATTTCCTTTTGCTTTACCAAACTCAAATTCCAGTCCTTAGGGTTGAATTGGAAAAATTAGCTGTGATTGCAAATTCGGCCAAAGGCTTGGAATTTCATTTTCTACCAAAATATTTATTTTATTTTTTTATTTTTAAATATTAAATCCTACTAAATATTTTGTGATTTTGAATCTTCAAAATATAGGAATACCCTTAAAAAGAAACAAAAATAAATAAATGAAATAAAATAAAAAATAGCTAGTTAAATTTTTCAGTTGTAAATATAATAATAGGTTGAATTCTCATATGGAAAAAGAAGACTTCAAAGGAAAAAAAAAATTTTTTTGAGAGACTAATTACATGATATTGATGACTTGACTCAGACTTGCTATAAGGATTAGAATGTTGATTTTATTTAAACAAGTTAATTATTTCATATAAACTTTGGTATCAGAAATAACATAATATTATTTTTTTTATGTGCAGAAAAATACTCAGGACGACCAATAACAGCTCTTATATTGGGGTGCAATTACAAGTAACAAAGCATCAACGAGTAATCATTCTTGCTGCTGATTTTCTTTTTTTAATTTTCAATTATTATTTTTCATACTATTTTTAGCTATGCGACTAATTTTATCTGGGAGTGCATCGTGCTGGCTAGCCATTAAATTTTTGTTTAACAGTAAAAAAAGAAAAGGAACATCAGGATCAATTCTTAATTTATATTATTAACAGCTAACTTATTCCAGTTTGTAGAAATAGAAAATTTCTGTAATTCGCTATATGTTTGTTTCAGGTGGTGATTGACAATGGAATTGTACGAGTCACTTTGTCGATTCCAGGAGGTGATGTCACTGGAATTAAATACAAAGGAATCGATAACGTACTTGAAATTGATAATGAAGAAGATAATCGAGGGTACTTGATTATTTAAGCATCATTATTTTCACTTTTACTGTTACTTTTACCATGTACTTGAAATTCTAATTACTGTTAACAGTTAGTAATTTTCTATTCAGGTATTGGGATGTTGTCTGGAACAAACCAGGAGATCGTATCATCTATGACAGGTAATTATATTAATTATATCCATCAAATTAATTAATTTAATCTAACTGTAATTCGGTTAAATTTCTGTTTATGTGGGGTTTGTTTAAACTTAAGCAGGAAGAGTTAAGGTTAACCATACTCTGATTATTTCAATATGATTATCGTTTTACTGCCTTTTTCAGGTTACAAGCAACAAATTTTAGTGTGGTAATGGAAAACGAAGACCAAGTAGAGGTTTCATTTTCTAAAAGATGGAGACCATCCATGGGTGAATCCACAGTGCCTTTGAATGTAGATAAAAGGTAAACTTTAGTGTAACTTTCACAATATATCTAAAGATAATATTTTTTTTAAATAATATTACGGGCTAAAAAGTACCACACAATGTTTGCTAAAGAGAGAGATTTGAATTATTAAAAAATAAAATAAATTTTATTATCTTATATAAAATTAAAATCAAAGAATTATTATTAATTTAAAAATTTGCAGGTATATACTGAGGCGTGGCAGCTCAGGACTTTACTTGTATACCATATTAGAACGCGAAGAAGGATGGCCTGACGTTGACATGGATCAAATTAGAGTTGTTTTTAAGCTCCAGAAGGACAAGTAATTGATGCATTAATTAACTCCATTTAAAGCCATATTGAAAATTAATTATGGGTTCCATTTCCTAAATAATGTACGAAACAATGGTCAGGTTTCATTTCATGGCGGTTTCTGACGATAGGCAAAGAATCATGCCAATGCCAGAAGATCGCATCAGGGGCTCGCCTTTAGCTTATCCTGAAGCTGTGCTGTTAACCAATCCAACCAATCCGGACCTTAGAGGAGAGGTAACTCTAATTTCAAAACAAAAATTGGAATAACAGTCGTCAAGTGTTTGATAAAATGCTCCAAAGAAGACAGATTTGCTTGTCTTGAGGTTTATGCTATTTTATATGTTGAAATTGTTCCAAATTGATTTATTATATACTACTTTTGACAAATTGGTAACATTTGTTCATTCTTTAAAATCTTGTATTAATTTCCCTTTAAGCGTCTGAATATTATGTGGATGTTATAGGTAGATGACAAGTACCAATACTCGTGTGAAGATAAAGATAATAAGGTCCATGGCTGGATTTCAGATGATCCACCAGTTGGGTTTTGGATGATCACACCCACTGATGAATTCCGTGTTGGTGGGCCCATCAAACAAGATCTTACGTCCCATGTTGGCCCTACTGTCCTCAATGTAAGTTTATATTTTATGCAATTTTTTTTTTTTTTTTTTTCCTGACTTTATTGGACAATTCAAATGTCAATAAATTCAACCTTATCCATTCGTGTGTGCAGATGTTTACCAGTACTCACTATGCTGGGAAGGACTTAAATACACAGTATAGAAATGGAGAGGCATGGAAGAAAGTTCTTGGCCCTGTTTTTGTCTATCTTAATTCTATATCACCTTCTGAGGATCGAGAAACTCTTTGGCAAGATGCTAAACAACAGGTATATAATATAAATATGTCAACTAGCTTAACATTACTCCAATTCATGAGGATTCTGAATGAAATGTATTTATTGAGTAATCATGTTTGGGACATTCATTGTTTAGATGTCAACTGAAGTTAAAAGTTGGCCTTACGATTTTCCTCAATCTGAAGACTTCCCTTATTCTGATCAACGAGGGATTATTTCCGGTCAGCTAATAGTTCGTGACCGGTACATCAACAAAAGGTTAATGTATGCTAGCTCTGCTTATGTGGGATTGGCAGCACCGGGAGATTTAGGCTCATGGCAAATGGAAGCAAAGGTTGCAATAGACCTTTTCTAGTCGTGTGAACTTTTGTAGTACTGAAATAATGAAGTTAATAGCTGAGTTTAATTTCTATTTTATTTTTGTATTTCTTTTCAGGGTTACCAATTTTGGACTCAAGCTAGTAGAAAAGGAAATTTCTTAATAAAAAATGTTCGAGCTGGGAATTACAGTTTATATGCATGGGTTCCTGGTATAATGGGAGATTACAAGTACGACTTCAATATCACCATCCAACCAGGTATGACTATCTTCTTATTTTTTTGTCGAAACAAATTCAATCTGAAATTTTTTGATGAAGATCCTGACAACCCCTCTCCTTTTGGAATATCTAATGCAGTAAAAAAGGAGTTTCTAATCAAATAAATAAAACTATAGAAAGAATTAATGAGATGATTGGAGTGATTTAAAATTTTAATTGTAGGGTCTAGCATCAAATTGGGTGTCCTTATACATGATCCTCCAAGAAATGGCCCAACTCTATGGGAAATCGGAATTCCTGACCGCAAAGCTTCCGAGTTTTATGTGCCAGAGACATATCCAACACTCATGAACAAATTATATACCAAACACCCAACAGACAGGTTAGTTATCATCAACATTATTTACCATTTTCATCCCTATACTTGATGCTTTATTAGTTATTTCCTGATTAATAACTTCAATTGTAGATTTAGGCAATATGGTTTATGGGAAAGATATGCTGATTTATATCCTAGGAACGATCTTGTATATAATGTTGGAGTCAACAATTACTTTCAAGATTGGTTCTTTGCCCATGTTACTAGGTACTCTTTACACCCATATTTTTATTCCTATCAATTCTTTACTTGAAGTTCCATGCCTCTTATTCTAATTTTTGCAATGCAGAGAGAAAGGAAATAATACATATGAAGCAACCACATGGCAGATCATTTTTGAACTAAAAAATGTAAACCAAAGTGGAAACTACACTCTCCAGCTAGCCTTGGCATCAGCTACATTGTCTGAACTCCAGGTATTCCTTGGAAATTTTGCCATTGCACTAATGACCTAGTAATTGAATTATCTTATATTTGACAACAACTTTTTAAAAACGTTACTTTTTATAGTGTTTGGTAATATAGCGCTTTAACTATTATTTAGAGGTTAAGTTAACTTTTTATAAAAGTTAAACCCATATAATGAGTTTTTAACTTTTTATAAAAAGCTATTTGAATAACAAAACGTTATTAAAGCAGTTAATTTTGTCCAACAAGCCCAATATATTTTAATTAATTATTGATAGATTGATGTTTGAATAATAGTAATTTGATAATGTGTTCAATAGGTGCGATTCAATAATGCCGGTGCCGATCAACCTTTTTTTACTACAGGGTTAGTAGGCAAAGATAATGCAATTGCAAGACATGGAATCCATGGACTCTATTGGTCGTACAGTATAAATGTACCTAATGATCAGCTTGTCAATGGAGACAATACAATTTATCTAACTCAATCAAGAGATGATGGTCCATTCCATGGTGTCATGTATGATTATATTCGTTTAGAAGGACCAAGAGATACTTAAAATTAAGAAATTTTTATGTAGATAAATTTATTTATTGTTTATATGTATTTAAATTCTTGTTTTACTAAAAAAATATAGTCTGTAAATCCAATCATATATATATAGATTGATAATAAAACAAGTATAGATTATTTTTTTTCCCGTCTTTGTAATTTAATATGATGGGTTTTCCAATGATAAAAATATTACATGTGGGCTTAATGTATCAAAATAATTCCAACTTTCCATATTTTTGCAATTTCAACCTATTTTGACATTTTTCTCAATTTGACCTCATTTCAACATTTTACAGCAGTAACACTCTCAATTACAATTAAAAATGAAATTGCAAATAAAAAATATTTTCATTCTTTTTTTAAAGAAATTAATAATGAAAATAAAATTTTCAAAAAAATTTTTTAAATATCAAATTATTCATGATATAGATTTAAAAATATAATATTTGAGATAAGTGCAATTAAAGTATTAAGATTTTATTTTTTTATTTTTCTTAAATGAATAATAATTGTCAATCCAAAAAATTATAACAATAAGGATTTTTCATCCTTATTATATTTTTCTAATTTAATTTTTATACGATGCTTAGAGATTTACTAAATTATTAATTAACATATTCATTTTAAAAAATTAAAATTTAATCTGTTGCAACATTATTTATATAAACTAATGGAATTTTTTTCAGATTTTTATTGGCCTAACGTATCAAAATACCCCAACCTTGTAAACTTTTGCAATTTACTCTATTTTGAAATACACTTTTGCAATTTCACTCTATTTTGACATTTTTAGCAATTTTATCATAATTTCAACCTTTCGTAACAATAGCATCCTCAACTGCAACAAAATGAAATTGTAAATAAAAAAATATTTCTATCATTTTTTAAGTATGGTATCTATTGTTAAATAAATAGTAAAAAATTAATTAAAAAAAAACTAAATGTCTTTTGGATATTAAATTACATTGACATTTAGTGGGTAACATATTTAGATGTAGAAATATGATAGTTAAAATTGGCAATTAAAATAATTAAGGAGTTATTTATTTTTCAATTAAATAAATAATAATTAGCTATATTATCAATCAAAAAATTACAAGAATTGAGATTTTTTTTCATTCATTACATATACATAATATCAAAGAAAATACAAAGTTGGAAAAAATAATATTTTGTTAATTTAATTTTTATTTTGTACTCCAAAATTTTTCGGTAAGTAACACAATACTATGTATTAAGTTGTTATTAAAAATAAAAAATTTGATATGTGCAGCATCAATTGATATATACTTGATGATCTGCAAACAATACGACAGTGATACAGTAGTTTTAGTTCCGGTGTATTGTTGATCACTAACCTTTTCTCTGTGGAAAATGTTTGTTTTATATACATGGATAAGGTAAAGTTGGTCACTGAGTATTATTTCTTAATATCATGTCAACATTTATGATCCTTTTTCGAGGTGAGCTTTTTGACTGAATAATCCCGTGTCTATCAATACTAACGAAATTCTTTTCGAATTTTATTTTTTGAATTTTCATTATTATCACATGGTGATCAAAAATGGATGGAAATACTTTTCTTATTTGCAATTCCATTCTTAATTTTAATTGAAGGTGTTATTGTTATAAAAGATTGAAAATGGGGTAAAATTGACAAAATAAATTAAAATAGGGTGAAACTGCAGTAACTCTTAAAGTTTGAGATAGTTTGATATATTAGGCCATTTTAATTAGAGTTACATAATGATTTAGAAAAAAAAGATTGGAATACTTTTTAATTTGCAATTCCATTTTTAATTAATTGTAATTGAGGATGATATTATAAAAGCTTTAAATTGAGGTAGTATTGATAAAAAATGTCAAAATAAGGTGAAATTGCAAAAACATATAAAATTGGGAGTGTTTTCAAAACCTAATGCAATGCGTGAGAATTAACAATTAGTAATTATATTACAAATCCCTCCTCACCCTTGGAGGCAAAGGGACTATTTAAGAGTTTATATTATAAAGGATCAAATCCACGACTTAAGTCATGATGAACAACTCTGAAAGTTCTCTTTTCCGTTGAGTTATCCCATTCGGATTGCATTACAATATTTAGTTTGAGGAAATGATAGAATATCATTATCAAATATGTATTTCAAATGTTATAGCTTGTATCTACATTTTTGTATTATTTTTTTCCATTTAAGTTAGATTTTACTATGTTATCATATTTAGTTTTTATTTCTTTTCTAATAGAACCCACCTATTCTTTTTTAGTCTATATCTTATAAAACAATAATCAATTGTGGTTTGATCTGGAATCTTTTTTTTTTTTTTTCCAAAAAATAAAAAAAATGTATCAAACGTATCTTTATGCACCTGTAATAACAAATCTGATCTGATATCCAATGAATTCAAGAGTGCATCTCATTTTCTAAGATTTGCATAGCTTGTAGAGTGTGTTTATGCTATATAGTGTGTCTTTTCAAAAAAAAAAAAAAAAAGTATCTTATAAAACATAATCAACTCTGTTTGGTTTGATCTGGAATCTTTTTTTTTTTTTTTCCTTTTTTTCCAAAAAATAAAAAAAATGGTATCAAAGTATCTTTAAATGCACGCGTGTAATAACAATCTGTCTGATATCAATAATTCAAGAGTGCATCGTCATTTCTAAGAAATTGCATAGCTTGAGGGAGTGTGTTTAATGCTATAATAGTGTGTCTATTTCAAAAAAAAAAAAAAAAAGTGTCTTTTTTGTTTTCTAGTTTGACCACATGATTTAATCAAAATGGGGTCTATATTTAAACTAGATGAAGAAATATTATTTGTGCGTATTATTTCGTTGCCTTATTTTTTAACAATTTAAGTACTTCAAAATGATTATAATGGGAGATGATAGCAATAAATAGAAAAAATGGTATTTTTGTCTAATTAAAAATTTTCTATGCTAATTAAACATTTCTTGAATTAGATAATAACGTTTTCCTTTAATAATTGTATTTAATCTTATTATTAAAATATCTATTTTCCACCCTGGGCTTTATTGAAAATTTCATATTATAGAAATTGTAATATGGAATTAATTTATTTTTAAATAATTATAGAATAATTAATATGTAATAGTCTTAGTTACAAGTTTTAATAATTTAAACACCCTATCTTATAATTAGATAATTCTATTCAAATAAAGTTTACGATTTAAAAATAAGTCAATGGAATAATATATTAGATAACTATTTTATTTATTATTCAACAGAAAATGTAATAAATATTACTATTAAATAATTAATGTCTACAAGACAAAGAAAATAAGAAAGAAAGCAATTTATATAGATAAATATGGATAGTTTTACAGATAAGTTCAAAAATAAATTTATATTAATTCCAAAAAAATATTTTAGTTTAATTTAATATATATAACTTAAATAGATTAAAAAATAGAAAGTGGTGTATATCTATTTATAGAAAAAAGTTTTACAGATAAGTTCAAAATTTGAAAGTGGTGATATATATCTAGTATTTTTTTTTAACAAAAAATATCCAATTAAAACATAGAAACATAAAGAAAAGAAAGAAATTTATATAGATAAATACGGTAAATTTTTATCGTAGTATATATCTATTTAGAGAAAATAATTCAAAAAATATATATATCCAATTACAATATAAAAAAAATAAATAAAAGAAAGAAATTTTTATAGATAAATATGGATAATTTACGGATAAGGAAATATCAAGAATTTGAAAGTGGTATATATCTACTTAGTGAAAAGAATTTTTTAAAAATGTATCCAATTAAAACATACAAAAATAAAGAAAAGAAAGAAATTTATACACATAAATATGAGTATCTTACAAATAATGAAATATTCAAAATTTTGAAAGTGGTATATATCTATTTAGATAAAAGAATTTTTAAGAAAATATATATCTAATTAAAACTTGAAAAAATAAAAAAAATAAAAAATTTATATAGATAAATATAGGTCCTTTATAAATAAGGAAATATTCAAAAATTTGAAAGTAGTATATATTATTTAGAGGAAAGAATTAAAATATATATATTTTTATAGATCATCGTTCGGTAAGATAGTATGTAAAATAGTTAGTAGATAAAATAACATTTATTAAAACGTAATCCCACCTAACTTTAGCGTTTCATATTGTTTGATTAAAAATTTTTTGACAGCTCTACTCTTAATTTAAAACTCTTTTATCGTGTCAATTGCCTTTTTTTTGTTTTTTTAACTATATACGTAAATGATATTGTTGATTCTTTACGGCAAAGTAGAAGATGAAATTAATTTAACTTAATCTAATAACAAATTCTATTTTTCTCTCATTGATTCATTAGAAGAATATTGATTTATACTACTTTGTGATTTATACCAATATATGTAATGGAATACATCTTGAAAGACGATATTAATTAAATTAATTATTATGTTAATATATATATATTTTTTAACTTTACAAGCAAAGTTTGACTAAGAATGTCTGTAACATAAACGAGAAAGAGTAAGACCAACCACACTTGATTGACAATATTCTTGGATACAAGGGAAATCCAATGGACCGAAAAAAATAACGAGACAGCTTTTCCATTTGAATAACATTTATTAAATTGGTCATAATTTTTGTGGTGAAGAGGATTCGAACTTCAGATCTCTTACTCTTTACATCTTCTACAAAAGGTAGGAATAAAAACCGAACCATTTTTGGTTGACAATTGAAATATATATTTTTTTATTTTAATCATTTGGTATCGGAAGCCCAGTAGTTCTACTAATCTTGATTCACACCAGATAAACCCACAAAAGAAGGCAAGATGTTCCCTTCCGAGTTTTTAAAAGAACTCTATACTCAGAGTTTGAACTCGAGACATCTGATTAAGGTAGACCCAACAATTGAAATATTTGACTCATAGTAAAATAAATAAATAAATAAATAAATAAAGTGTTACATTGATGTTTAAATAGACACATTAAATTAATCAGTTTGACTCGTTTTTATAATCCAACTTAACTAAGTAAAATATCTTTACAATATCTCAACTACTTGACACATGATACTGCACTGCTAATAATAAAATAGGACAGTAGCATAAATTAAATAACTGAAATTCAGAAATACTGCGACTTGAATTATTTTCCAA